TAAAAGACAAGAAGTAAGCTGGAAGAAAAAAAATAATTTCTTAAAATCTGTGAGAAGATAACCTAATAAAAAAAGTGGGCGAAAGATATGATAAGGCAATTCCTAAAAGAAAAAATATAAATGGGCCAGTAAACATGTGAACTAGTAAAATCAGGGAAACGCAAATTAACCTGGCATCAATTTGTGCTCATCAGATTGGCACAAATGAAAAGGTTAAAGAGGGCGTGAATAAATAGATATTTCCATACACATTGCTGGGAGTATAAATTGGTCATCTTTTTGGAGAGCAGTGTAGCTCTATAACAATATTGTGTCTGTAATAATTTCAAATGGGTATTCCCTTAACCCAGAAATTCGACTTCCAGGAACACTCATACATTTGCATATGAATATGTAGAGAAAGCTTTGTAATAATGAAAACATTGAGAACAACCTAATCATCTGTCATTTTATCTCAGACAGCTAGTTTCATTCTGCCTCTGGGCTAGAAATTAAAACCTATTTCCCTGGTTACCATAAGTTCCTGCTTACTCCCTGGGGTTAAGAACAGTGCCTGCGAATGGAAAGAGAATATGACTCAGATAACCCAGGTACACAACCCTGCAACTGCCTGGTCTCCTCTAGCTAGTGAGTTTACCTCTGACCCTGGTGTGGTGTCACATGCCTGTAATCCCAGCAACTCAGGAGGCTGAGGCAGGAGGATAGATAGTTCCAGGCCAGCTTCAGCAACTTAATGAGACTCTGTTTCAAAATAAAAAAGGCTAGGGATGTAGCTCAGTGGTAAAGCATCCCTATGTTCAATCCCCAGTAATCCTCCCAACTAAAAAAAATGTTTATCTCTGTATATAGATAATTTTTCTTTTCATTTTGTTGGTGCTGGGTTTGGAACCCAGGGTCTCACACATTCCAGCCAAGTACTCAACCACTAAACCATATCCCGGCACACACATACTCCCCAGCCTCTGATGATTGAACTCAGGGGTGCTCTACTACTGAGCTACTTTCCTACCCTTTTTCCTGTTTTTTTTATTTAAAACAGGATCTAAGTTGGTAAGGCTGGCTTTAAACTTGTGATCCTCCTGCCTCAGATTCCTGTGTCACTGGGATTCCTGGTATGTGCCACCATACAGGGCTCTAACCCCATTTTTTTTTTACTTCTGTTTTTTTTTTTTTTTTTTTTTTAGGTGTAGTTGTACACAATGACTTTATTTTATTTATTTATTTTTGTGTGGTGCTGAGGATTGAACCCAGGTCCACACATGTGCTAGGTGAGTGCTCTACCGCTAAGCCACAACCCCAGCCCCTACTTCTGCATTTTTTAATAGGCATTCCCAAACCAAGTAACCCAATTCTATGGGTGATTTTATTAACAGCAAGGTAGTTTTTAAGAAAGGGATTTGTACATGGAGAATTTGGGAGAGCATTCGGAGACCTACTTTAGACTCTAAAACCCAGTTTCATTTTTGTCAATGTTGAGGAGCATATGCTGTATTCCATATAATGAAAATTAATGCTTAATATCCATGGTATTCACCCTGACAAATACCTCTGATTTATTAAAAATGAAGTGGCTCTCTAATATGTTAATCGCTCTTGGCTATAAATATGAGAAAGAAATCTAGTTTCTGACTAGAAAAAGAGGAGTGAGTCACCTGTGTACTCCCAGCTGTGAAACTCCTTGACAGGATGGTTAACATTTATCAAACATAGATCAGATGCTCTTTACTCAGTAGTTTAATTTGCATAGATCATGAAATTATTAACAGAGGCCAATAATAATTGGGTTAGACTTGCACTGTCCAATAGAAATATTATGTGGGCAAAAAGTTTTGTAAGTAGCCACATGAACAGTAAAAAAAAAAAAGTGATGTATATTTGAGATATTATTTCAACATGCAATCAACATAAAGACTAGAATTTCATTTTCTTTTTGGAGGTCTTTGAAATCCAGTGGGTTTAACGTAGTCTCAGTTGGACTAGCCACATTTCAAGTGTCTAATAGCCATATGTGGCTAGTGCCTGGCTATGGCATTGACCAACGAAGGGCCAGACTGTAAGCTCTAGAGGACATAGATAGTAATTGGTTTATCATTGTATACCAGGAGCTGGTATACCATAGTACGTAGCTGCTGTCCAATAACATTTTTTAAATTATTTTTTATTTGTAGTTGGACACATACCTTTATTTTATTTATTTTTATGTGGTGCTGAGGATCGAACCCAGGGCTTCACACATGCTAGATAAGTGCTCTACCTCTGAACCACAACCCCAGCCCCCAATAACATTTTTGACTCAATGAGTGGATGAATGAACAAACATAAAATCATTATCTCATTGACTCAACTGTAATCCATGTGACTGAGTCATGTTTGTTACAGAAATAATTGGTAGTAAACGTATAATACCTTTCTTGCTGTATGGTCATTTAGAGAAAAATCTAGAATATGTTGTATTTCTTTTCATATTTGCTCAAAAATAGCTTTAAAAATTATCTACTGGCTGCAGATAATAGAACAAATAACAGAATTCTTTGAGTTCCTTTGAGTGTAATTGTGATTGTCTTGATATTAGTTCTTGGAAGCATTGCTGTCTTTTTTTCCCTGCGAGACTGAGGATTGAACTCGGGGCTTTATACATGTTAGGCAAGCACTTCATCACTGAGCTACATCCCTAGCCCATTATAAAATTTTATTTTGAGACAGGGTCTCACTAAATTGGCAAGACTGGCCTCAAACTTGCCCATTCTCTTGCCCCAGCCTCCCAAGTAGCTGGGATTATGGGCATGAGCTACTACACCTGATTTGCATTGTGTCTTGAGAAGACCATTTCATAATCTAATACCTATCCCCTAGATCATATCTTTCTCTCCCTTCCCCCTTCTCACCTTCTCTTTCTCCCTCTCTTCTTTTTTGGTTTGGTGGGGGAGATTGACCCTATGGCCTCACACAAACTAAGCACATACTGTACCACTGAGCCCCATCATCTGTCTCTTAAGCGTAATAATATCAAAGTCCACAGAGAGTGGGACACTGTTTTGATGATCCCTGTCACTGTTGACTTTTACCAGAATTGAAGTCAACTAAACTTTGGACCTGTTAATATATCTCCAACTATTTTAGGTGTTGTGGGTGATATAGGATAATTATTACACATGATCTTTGTCTTTGAGCTTATTCTCTATTTGGAGAGGAAAACAAGCTGGTTAAATGAGTAGAGTAGAATTAAATGCAAATTAGCTGGTTCCTAACTTTGATCAGTGTTTTTCTTTGTGCCTAGGCTTGGTTATAGGAAGGTGAATACAAATACTTTCCTCTTCCCTCAAATAGTTCACAGCCTTCTGGAAAGATGCGTATTTAAACCAATACACATTTTAACATAAATAAATCTGTAAAGTACAGTAATAATATCCCCACATATAGATGAGGAGGCTGAGGCTCAGTAAAGGTCAGTGACTTGCTCAAGGTAGCAGACAGAAAGAACCTGGATTCAGACCTGGATATGAGAAGGGTACTTGGCTCTTTCTTCCATACCACACTCTTCTGTTTTCAGAGCCCTAGAAAGAGAAACTGAATTCTTCATTTAAGGTAAATTTTGTGGCTCATTGGTAATTACACCAACTGATTTTAGTTTACTGCATGTTATATTCATGTATTTACATGGTTATCGTACAACCATCTTTTTAATTGTATACATCTACCTTAGAATATGAGGAGTATGGTCCCAAATCAGAAGGGCCCTAGGTCCTTAATGAGAAAGGGCTGCAAGGGATATTTGGAGGCATTTTATCTACTAGGGACTGAAGGGCCAGGCCAAGAATAAGGGAAGGACTCTGGGTTTCCCAAAAAGAGGGGCAAGAGAGAGAAAATAGGCCTTAAAATCTTGGGCCAAGGTCTTGGTCTTTGAGCAGTAAGGAACCATCAAATTTTTAGTTGCTCTAGATCTGTGCAAAATTTCTTTTCAGTTCTTATTTAAAAGCATACCCTAGAAAGTGGGATTTTGATTTTTAAAAAATAATGTAAGGCCTATATTAGGTTGGTGATGTTTATCAAATGTCTAACAGTACCCTACATATTAATTAATATTATACTAGAATCTATTACTAACATGTGAAAGTAGGTTAATCTTTAGGATAATAGACAGCTACAGTAGTGTATTGTTCTATCCCATATATATTTAAGGATCTTTGTTCTATAGTTCTTTAAGGGTTTATGTGGATTAATATAAAAATTTGTAAGGATAATAGAAATAATATAAAGTTTTGGGGTTTTTTTAACTCTAAAATAAACTTAAAGTATATTTTAGTGAACTAGTTGATATAGTTTAAACCTCAGAGAGCTTTCAAATATAAATTATAGAAATATCTTTTCTTAGTCTTACTTTTAATAGAATGAAAAATATTATTTGAGATACATGTAAGGATATTCTTTGTTAAATATCTGGAACTGTATTTAAATTTAAAATTTTTCTTTGACCCCTTGAAAGCCAGTTTTCTTTTAAAGTATATAAGTATATATTGTGGAAAAATCATAGATTTATGTGTGTGTATTTTTATTTATACATGACTCATTCACATTTGTGGTTATATTTATGTAGTTCTCTAATATTCACAGTTTAGTTTGCCTGTGTTTTTTTCTCTAAGGAAATAAGAAATTTATCCTGTTAGTTTTTAGATTACCAAGCCTCATTTCTTTCTTTTCTTGAAAATTCCAAGTTGTCAGCCATTTTCTTGAGTTTATCATGCTATGCAACCTTCCTTGGGAAATATCTTTTTACAGTTACTAAAATTTAAAAGTAGTCATATGAAATAAAAATGGAGACTAGCTCCTTAAATGTTAAGTAGTATGTGCGAATGTATAAAATAACCTAAACAAATGAAAAGTACATCCATGTTATAAATCTTACCTGATTCCCTTTTAAAGCTCAAATGGTTGTTATCCAGTTTTGTTTGTGCTTTCTATCTGGTGGGCCACTTGTGGAAAACGGTCTTCTTCTCTCCTAGGCCACAGACCTCCACCAGCACGCAGTGGACATCGTTGTGTGGCAGATAATACCAATCTGTATGTGTTTGGAGGTTATAACCCAGACTATGATGAATCGGGAGGGCCAGATAATGAAGACTATCCTCTCTTCAGGGAGCTTTGGAGGTATCATTTTGCAACAGGAGTATGGCACCAGATGGGCACAGATGGCTACATGCCCCGGGAATTGGCATCTATGTCACGTGAGTGCAAACAGTTTTGAATTTTTTATTTTATGAAATATCTGAGAGTCCAGGTTCACTATCTACATGTTCCTTGTTAATAATTTATAACATTGTAATATGTTAAACCTTTTTAATATGCATTTTACTCTGGTAATAATATAGCGTGGTGATTTAGAATTAAGTCCTGAGTTTGAATCCATTTATATATCATTTTACTGCCAGATGTTTTAGCTTTAATTTCCTTACCTATAAAATTGGATTAATAATATCTCAGAGGTTTTAATAAAAAGCATCATAATATGCAAGGCAAAATGTATTCAGAGATCAATAAATGGGGTTATAATGATGAGAGTAAATAGCTATTGAAATACTTAACACACATTATCTGTTTAATCCTTACAGCATCCCTGTGATGCAGTTACTACAGTGATTGCCATTTGTACAAATGAAGAAACTGAGACTTTTAGAGAGTCCCTAAGGTTAATGGTTAAGAGTGAAGGTTCTGGAGCCAAACCGCCTGGGATTAAATCCCAGCTTGGCAAGGTTCTTTTTAGGAAACCCTCAGCAAGTTATTTGAACTGCTCTCCACCTCTGTTTAATCATCTATAAAAATGGGAGAGATAATAATAGTTCCTGCCTCGTAAAGTTGCTGTGAAAATAAAGTTAAGTTAGGGAAGTTAAATATCTTCTGAAGGTCACAGCCAACTCTTGCTGGCTCTAGAGCCCAGCTGTTGACCACTATAGTGTATCAGTTTAAAATATGGTTTTTTAAAAAAGCCACTGAAATAATTCAGTGGTATTATTTTGAGAGATGGAGAAAACAGGCATGAGAGAGAGAAAGAAAAGGGGGAGAGAGAAAGGAGAACGTGTGTGTTGGTGGGGTGGCAGGAACAGAAGAGAGAGTGTTCCCTACAGGATATTAGTATGCAGTATATTAGTATAGTAGTATTTGATAAGGGATTAAGATGTCAGAAACCACAATTTAAATGTGGAGATCATTTCTCTGACACACACTGAATGATCCTGTACTCTCTTCATCCTGAGTCCCCTGGGGTTTATGATATTTTTGGTTTTCCTCTACTTTATCACATACTTGAACTGTCTTGAGCAACAGTGGCATATTATCGTTCATAGAACTCAGCATTGCTGTATACATGGCATTTAATAGATTTCATAGATACATACTGTGTTATCATACTCCTAATGGTGAAACTATATGATATAGTCCACACAGTATGAATTATACCTTTTTCTGCAGAACTTTATAGTAGTTAGATGTTGGGTTGCTAATTAGATAAAATAGCCAATGGTTGGGCTAGCTTACAAGATCACTAGACATTTTTTAGTTTTTCAGCTATTCTGAGTTTGTGTGGGAACACATTCCAGGTAGCCAGCCAATACATAAATGGAATTTGTGCTTCCTTCTCAGTTGTGCTGCATGGAAACAACCTGTTAGTGTTTGGAGGTACGGGCATTCCATTTGGTGAGAGCAACGGCAATGATGTCCATGTCTGTAATGTGAAGTACAAGAGATGGGCTTTACTCAGCTGTCGGGGGAAGAAACCCAGTCGTATATATGGACAGGTAACAGTCTGGCCAGTTACTGTGGTTGTATGTTCATATTTTTCTAGCGGTGTCAGGATATTTATATTGCCACTTTTTTAAGGGGGATGGTTACTGAGGATTGAACCTGGGGTGCTCTACCACTGAGCTACATACATCCCTAGTCCTTTTTTGTTTTGTTTTTAATTTCCAATTTTGAGACAGGATCATGCTAAATTATTGAGGCTGGCCTTGAACTTGCAATCCTTCTGCTCCAGACTCCCGAGTTTGTAGGATTACAGGCACGCAACATGCTGCTGGTCTTTTTTAAAAATGGAGAATGAATTCAGTATGATTAATATTTGATTTTTCAGTTCTGATGTGAAACTTTAATTTTGAGTTTTCTCTCCTTTTTCCTTCACTCTTTGTTTCTAATCCAGTTTAGGGCCATCATCTAGGCCTGTTTGGAAGTTTCTTTAAATGTTAGAACCTCACCTCATCTCCACACCAAATGAGAGACTGGGCTCTAGGACGGTCTGCAACCTGTCATTTTTAGAATGATGGGCGAGAAGGCTCTTCATAGAATCCTAAGTAGTACAGTAGATGATCCCTATACTTGGTTAAGAGGCTTTTACATGAGCTTAAACATTGTGCAGGTTAGTTTAGGTTCCAGTGCTTCAACCTTAGATTTGCAAAGTTTTATCCAGGAAGATAGGGAGCTGCCCACTCTAGAGATTCTTTGAAAATAATGGACTAAGTCAAAATACCACGGTTTGATTTCTTTATTGACTAACTGGCACTGGTACTGATAAACAGCTTGTGAACTTTAACTTTGAAAGGGGCACATACTGGACCATACTCTCTATCCGACCACAGTGATAACGATAGCTGAATTTATATTGAAGAAGAGATTGATGGACGCTATTGTGTTCCTGAGACTGCCAACTCTAGCCTTCCTATCTACAGAATTCTCATGGCTTATTTTCATCTCTGCTGTTGCTTCTTGAGAACATTTTTCTTCAGATTGCTTAGAAAGAGAAGTAGCTTTCAGTGGAAATGTTCATGTCATGATCTATACATTCTTGACTAGGACTCTAAGAATCATTTCTCCTTGCCTTTCTAGGTAGAATTCACAAAACTTTACCATTCTAAAGGGAATCTCCAGGTTCTAAAAATATTACCTAGATTCCTCAAAATCTTTACTCCTTTGAGAGTCTGATATTTATTTTTTATTATTCTGAGACAAGGTGTCTTGCTGTATTGCCCAGATTGGCCTCTGTTTCTTGGGCTTAAGCAATTGTCCTGCCTCAGCTCTCTAAGTAACTGGGACTACAGGCATGTACCACTGACCCAGCTTTAGGGTCTGTTTTTTTTTTTAAATATATTTTTGTTGTAGATGAGCACAATACCTTTATTTATTTTTATGTGGTGCTGAGGATCGAACACAGTGCCTCATAACTGTGAGGTAAGTGCTCTACCCCTGAGCCACAATTGCAGCCCTGGGTCTGGTATTTTTAATGGTTAAAAAGTAAAAGAGATCTGGGTGCAGCAGCGCATACCTATAATCCCAGGCGCTCCGGAAGCTGAGGCAGGAGGATTGCAAGTTCAAAACCAGCCTCAGCAACTTAAAGCTGAGCAACTTAGCGAGACCCTGTCTCTAAATAAAAAACAAAACAAACAAACAAACAAAAAAGGGTTGGAGATATAGCTCAGTGGTTGAGTGCCCCTGGGTTTAATCCCCAGTAAACAAACAAACAAAGTTCAAGAGAATTTCATAAAACCTGATTTGGGGCATTTAACAAGTATACATTTTGTAATCAAATGTTAAGTCATTCTTGGGCTGGGGTTGTGGCTCAGTGGTAGAGCACTTGCCTCACATGCATGAGGCACTGGGTTCCATCCTTAGCACCACATAAAAATAAAAAAAGAGGGGCTGGGGATGTGGCTCAAGCAGTAGCGCGCTCGCCTGGCATGCGTGCGGCCCGGGTTCGATCCTCAGCACCACATACAAACAAAAATGTTGTATCTGCCGAAAACTAAAAAATAAATATTAAAAAATTCTCGCTCTCTCTTTCACTCTCTCTCTCTCACTCTCACTCTCTCTTTAAAAAAAAAAGATATTGTGTCCATCTATAACTAAAAAGATATATATATTTTTAAAAAGTGTTAACAAGTCATTCTTGTCTACTTTTCCTTGTTACCCAGGCAATGGCTATCATCAATGGCTCCCTTTATGTCTTTGGAGGGACAACTGGCTATATTTACAGCACAGACCTGCACAAGTTAGATCTCAATACCAGAGAGTGGACACAACTGAAACCAAACAACCTATCCTGTGACCTGCCGGAAGAGAGGTAAGCTTCTAATATTAAAGCATACTAAGATTGGATCTCTTTAGAATATTGGTAATGTGAAGAAAATCCAGTGCCCTGATTACAATAGCTAATTGGCTGTGAGATCTCAGGTCAGCAGTAAAGAAAGGTATTCTAGTGAGAAAATGACATTTTCCCCTGAACTGTAAAGTGTTTTCATGTTATTTCCTTTTACACTTTTTAACTTTCTGTAATACTTTGAAGAAGAAACCAATGGTAGCAAAAGTTCGTATTGATGATCAATGAATGTTGATTGGATGGGTGGATGGGTGAAAAAGATTGTTTTAAATGCTCTGTTAAACATTCCAATGTCACATAGTTCTCTCTAGTGGCTTTCTACTAGTAGTCCTAGACCTTTCACTTTCCTTTCCTAATAATAGTTGCCTCTTAGAATTCCTTAAAAAACTTGAAATCATTTCCCCTCAAGTTTAAATTTTTTTTATTCATTGTTTAGACTATCCAGTGTCTCTTCTTTGCCTTTAAACAAAATGGCTATGGATGCTAAGGAAGCACCTATAATATTTATCTTTTGTATGGTATATTAGTGGTCTGATTATCGCAAAACTCCCATGAGAAGACTTGGGAGACAGCCTGATACTGGAATGATTTCAATGAAATTTATTTTATCTGCACTAGATTTTTTAGGGAAAGAAGGAAGTAGATTTCAAAGTAGTTTCACCTGGTTGCCTTCTTTGAATCATTTTATGGACATATTATAAATTATTTCAGCTTTTAGCTAGACTAGACTGCCTGGATAAAAATCCTGGTAGATATTTCATATCACAGTTCTATATAGCATAGTTTTCTGCAAAATAAGGGTTCTAATTTGAAAACTCACAGTATAGGGTCTCTAATTAAGATCACTTTTTAAAACTCCATAAAAAGACTGAGCTCAGGGGTGAGTGCTTGCCTAGCATATATGAGCCCCTGAGTTCAGTCCCCAGCACTGCAAAAATAAAACTGTAACCATTTCCCCCTTATGCAAAGTTATCACAAAAAGATGTTAGAAAATACAAATAAGCAAAAATGAAAAAAATTTAAAAATTAAATTTAGAGATTACTAGGATTAACATTTTAGGTTATATCTTATAGTCATTTTCTATGTGTATTGCATATCTATACATTTTTAATGAGATTATGGCCTGTCTACTTTGATGTAACTGTTTGGTTTTTCAGTAAATATCATGAAAAGAGGTTCTCAATATATTAATCTCCTTGGTGCCTACATTCTTATTGATTGTATATTAACCCATTTATGTGTATTCTGTAATTCATTTAACCAGTTTTCACTGTGGTTAAACACTTAGGTTATTCCCAGTAATTTTTATTATAAATAATGATGAAATAAAAATATTATAGCTAAACCTTAGTTAGATCATTTTTAACTTAATTAAAAATATTTTGGGGGGTATATTTTCAGGTACAGACATGAAATTGCTCATGATGGGCAGAGGATTTACATCTTGGGAGGTGGTACTTCCTGGACAGCTTATTCCTTAAACAAGGTACATTTAAAAAAAAAAGAAAAAGAAAAAGAAAAGGATAGGGAGAAGAATAGACAGAGGCATGTATCTTACTAAGCGAAATAATTCTATTGCTTTAGGTATTTTAATTTTCAAGCATCTTCCTCATCAACACCTGCTTTGTGGTAGATGCTTTTTATAATATAAGGCTGAATTCTGCTCCCGATACTCTTCAGTTGACAGTTGCATTTATCACACACTGAGAGTATATTATGAAAATTATTCCTTTATGCTGGATGAGGAAAATGACTAGAAGGGAAGTATAGTAGCTTGAATGGGGCAATGAATTAGAATCAGAATCAGGATCCTCACAATGTCACATCCCTCTCATTGTCGATGCTAAAAAGAATAGACATTTTTAGGAATACACATGACTAATTTTAGAAAGCTGAGTTCTGAAGAGCTTTTATTCACCCATCCTTGTGGCATTTCTGAAATGTCATGGTTACATATCCCAAGGGAAATCTCAATTAGGCAACAGAGTTCTTGGAGTGCTTTGAAACATTATTGAACTTTTCAAGTTTTGTCAAAGCTATATTCCCATATTTCCTTACCAAAGCTTGCTTTAAAATGATACATATTCACTGTAGAAAATGTGGAAGTTACAGAGCAGATAGCACACAGAAGAAAATCAAGTGTCATGTGCACTTCTACTTTTTATTCCACTTTTTTTTTCCTGTGAATTTAAAAAATTGTTTTCATATATGTGCTTAATTTTCAACTGCCCTATTTTATTTAATATGGAAAGATCAGAAGCTGGGTGTGGTGGTACATGCTAGTAATCCTAGCTGCTAGAAAAACTGAGTCAGGAGGATCCCAAGTTCAAGGCTAGTCTGGGCAGTTTATCAAGACGTTATCTTAAAATAAAAAATAAGGGCTGGGGCTGTAGCTCAGTGGTAGAGTGCTTGCCTAGCGTGCATGAGGCACTGGGTTCCATCCTCAGCACCACATAAAAAAAAATTAAATAAAGATATTGTGTCCACCTAAAACTAAAAAATAAATATTAAAAAAAAAAAAACGCAAAATAAAAGGTGGTGGGAATGTAGTTCAGTGGTAAAGTAGCCCAGGTTTAATCTTCGGTATTATGGGGTGGGGTGGGGTGAGGAGGGAAAAAAAAAAAAAAGGAAAGACCAGAGAAAAGCAAAGGAAAAGAATTTTTTTCAACCCAGAATATTTGCGTAGGCTGTTGTTAAAAATTCAGTTTTCTGGGGCTGGAGATTAAATAAAGATATTGTGTCTACCTATTGGTAGAGTGTTTGCCTAGCATGCACAAGGTCCTGGGTTCAATCCTCAGCACCACAAAAAAAAAGAAAAAAAAATAAGTTATTCTATATGGGAAATCTCTGTTCCTTGTGCTCAGTTTTTTTAAAAACTGCTCTAAAAAATATGTCTATTTAAAAAAAAAACATTTTCAGGCTAATTAAAATTGCAAGTTATTTATCTGTATATATGTTCTTTTTTTCCCGCCCAAGATACATGCATACAACCTTGAAACCAATGCATGGGAGGAAATTGCAACAAAACCTCATGAAAAAATAGGTAAATTAAAAGTATTAATTCATTTAACAAATTTATTTTATACTTGTGTTTTTTTTTGGGGGGGGGCTAATTTTCTTGAGTTACATGGCAAGTAAAATATCTGTTTAACTGATATTAGAAATCACTTCTTCCTTAGCACAATTATTCTTTCTTAGCAATTGAGCAAAGAATTTTACCAGGGATTATTGAATTCTGTGGCAGAAGTGGGGAAATGTGGGTGGGAAGAGAAATCAAGATCTCCCTAACTCTTCATGAGTAAAAGGGTTGGGGAAAGCCTCTAGTAACCCCTGTCCCTGCACCCCACTTTGTTCCCCGGCATCTTAGCATTGTCTGCTATAAAGAGAGAAGTTTTGATGGCTTTTGAAATAAGGAAGGATTGGAAGGACTAGTCAATGTTTGCTTAATATAAAAAAGGGATTGTTTTGAGCTATTTACAAATATGTCTTTCACTGTGTCATATCAACATCATTCCTTATCTTTCTGGGAATAATGGAATTTCTGTTTTTATGTGTGTTTGGCAGGTTTTCCTGCAGCCCGAAGATGTCACAGTTGTGTTCAAATAAAAAATGGTAAGGATTCTAAATAATATTTTGATCCATTTCTGTAATTGTATCTGCTGAGAATGACTTATTTCTTAATGATAATTTCTCAAAAGAGGTTCATAACTTTGGGAAGAATCTATTTCTGATAGTTTAAACTTAAAGGGAAAACTATAGAGTCATGCCTCTCTTAGCAATTGTTATGATGTAAACTAGTGTCTGGATTCCTTCAGTTATCAGAGAACTCAAAAATTGGCAATAAATAAGCTTTTATTGTACACCTAATCTTTCAGCATCTGACCTCAATAGATATCTGTGGTTACGTTTATAACACGGTGATTGCTTATATAGTGGAAACCTTGGTAGATATTGTATTAAAATGATAGTAACTCCTTCAGAATATTATTTCATAAAGTTTATCCTGTTCTCTGACTAATGTCAAATAGAACTCAGTTCATTCTTTGGCCATATTATAACAAAGGCATTGTATGGCTTCAGAAAGCAGTAGCAGCTCCTTTATCTGAGTGTGATAATGACTCTTTTTGGGATACTTCCTGTCTTTTCATTTACAGTTTATTTTATTCTTTGATATACTTCCTCAAGTGCTTCCCCCACTCCAGGAAGGTGTATATAAATGAGCCGGATAGACTGTATCTTTTCAACAGCTTAGTTCATATTTAACCAGAATTATTCTACCATTTCTAGTACAGAGGGGCTTTTTGTTATGCTCTGCTTTGGGGATAGGATATATAGATACTGTCATTGTTCAGCTTTGCCTCTCTGAGAATGGAGCTGTTCTTAAAAGGTTTCCTTGAATCCTAACCAAAAAAATTGTGATGTATTTTATAGTTTAATTAATTATTGGCTTAAACTTGATTTAGACCTGAATTAAGATATTTATTCATTTGATTCTTTGAAGCCAAGCACCATACAAATGGAATTCAGCCTTGATTCTGGGCATTTAGTTAGACTGTTCACATAGTCTTTATTACAAGTTGACTAACTAGTTAGAACTAAATGGTTTTACAAAAACAAAATTAAAATTCCACCTTTCCTTTGGGGAAAATTGTGTTTCTGACAAAGAGCTGTACAGATCAAATAGAGCTTCAGAATATCTTCTTTCAACTAAAGAAAGCCTAGAAGAACTTCTTTTGTGTCCCCAAGCTGCACATTGCACTGAGTACTTCTCAGGTTAAATGTCTACAGGGAAAGTGAGCGCAGCAGTGTACACCTGTAATCCCAGTGATTACAGAAGCTGAGGGAGGAAGATTGCAAGTTCCAGGCCAGACTCAGCAACTTAGAGAGACCCTCAACAACTTTATGAGACCCTGTTTCGAAAAATAAAAAGGACTGGAGATGTGGCTCAGAAGTAAACAGCTCCTGGGTTCAATCCCCAGTATGAGAAAGGGGGAATCCATATGGAGGACATTAGTCTCTGTGGGCAAATAAATGTACGTACTTTCCAGAACATTATTTAAAAGAAGAACTTGCAACTGGAGATCTATAGATGTGTTTTGTTTGGCTCCTACGTGCATTAAATTTCTTTTGAATTAGTGGCCAATACTTATAATTAAAATACTTCATTAGAAAAAAAAAATCCAGATTTTCATCTTCTCTTGAAAAATGGAAGATCTGGTAGTTACTAATCATAGCCAGCTCTCTTTTAGAACATGAGTACTCCTATATATTGTACTGAGACTTCCTGTCATTTATTTCCCCTCAACCCCTTGCCTGGAACCTAGAGGTATTTGAATTTGAAAGGCTTGATATGAAAACTTCCTAAAAAGCTTTAGCCCCTGCCCCCCAAAGACTCTTCCAACACAGTATCCCAATTCTGTTGAAGGACAAGCCAGTAGCATGATGGACCACACAGCTGAAGTCCTCTCTCTTATGGGGCAATCCCCTTAACTGTCAGCCAGCCTTGTGATCTGTTGTAAATCATGCTGTAGCTTTGGCTCTTTTCCTTTGTGTGATCTTGGCCTTCTCTTTTTTGATAGATGTATTCATTTGTGGGGGCTATAATGGAGAAGTGATCCTGGGAGATATCTGGAAGTTGAATCTGCAGACATTTCAATGGGTGAAGCTTCCTGCTACCATGCCAGAGCCAGTTTATTTTCACTGTGCAGCTGTTACACCAGTAAGTTCTTATTTTTGTATCTTCCTTATGTAGTTGTAGATGATAAGAAAATCTTTTAGAAAAAAAATGCCGATATTGGCAAACCTTGAATTAAGAATTGTTTTTAAAAGTTCCTTTTGAAGCTAGCCTTTCCTCTGAGAAAAGAGGAGGAAAATACCAACATACCCAAGTTTAAACAAACAACATAAATGTAAAAGAAACACTACATATGGCATTTAGGTCCTGGCAGTGATATCAAAGGTGTTTCCTGAGAGGGTAAAATAACTTTATTCTCCTGTACCATATTATTGAATATGTCACTGCAGAGACCTTTATTTTCAATTTTGTATTCCCAACATTTAGCATTTGGGGTACTTAGAATAGTGAAAATTTAATGGCTGGGGTTGTGGCTTAGTGGTAGAGCGCTTGCCTAGCATGTGTGAGGCACTGGGTTCAATTCTCAACACTGCGTGTAAATAAATGAATAAAATAAAGGTCCATCAACATCTAAAAAAAAAGTTTTTAAAAATTTAATGTTAGTTAATAGTGAAGTTTTTTGTTGTTGAAGTAAAACACACACACACACACACACACACACACACACACACACATACACACACCTATAGTTTTTTTCTTAGTAACCCATTCATTTTTTTAAACTCTGTTGATTTCTGTATATGTTGGGATCAGTGAAAACTTCTTTTCTTTTTTTTTATTTTTTCTTAGACCTGGGATCCAGCCCAGGGCCTTTTACATGCTAGGCAAGTACTCTACCATTGAGCTAGCTACATGCACAGCCTGAGAAATTCTGTTTCAACTCATTGGATTTAATTTGCTATGGTTTATTTGTTTTGTTAATTTTTTTCTTGCTGAGTCTTCAGCACTGGTGTCTATTTCTCTTCCGTTTGAATTTGTCCTCTTTTGATTGCCATTTGTTCATAGGCTGGTTGCATGTACATTCATGGAGGAGTGGTGAACATCCACGAAAACAAGCGGACTGGGTCTTTGTTTAAGATCTGGCTGGTGGTACCTAGCTTGCTGGAACTGGCATGGGAGAAGCTGCTCGCGGCCTTCCCCAACCTAGCAAACCTCTCCCAAATACAGCTTCTGCACCTTGGACTAACACAGGGACTCATCGAGCGCTTGAAATGAGGATATCTGGACTGTTCATTGATGCTGGAAATGTTAATTTAAAGAGACTCCTTTATTTATGGGCAGTGTAGGATGTGCTACAAAGAGAATTGGTTACCCTGATCAAGGCCTTATTCAGAAAATACATCAGATGCCTTTCTGTAAATTGGTTTTTAAGTTTATGGACATCTCACTTTTCCATGTGCTTTCTTCTTTGCTTCTCTTCCTCCTGCCTCAATACATACCCACATACTCACATAGTTTCTCTTTCTTGATGGAGTTGAGGGAAAGTTTAAAAGTACTTTAATAATGTCATTGATCAAGATAAGATAAAGAAATTTTTTAAAAGGAATTCTGGGCATAATGACCATGTCAACCAATGCTCTACAGATTAAAACATCATCAACAAAAACAAAAATAAAAACGTAGTAACAGCTACAAGTAGTTTGGGGGATAGATTGAGAAAACTAACCTTGAGAATCTTGCAGGTTATTCTTAAAAACCAGGATGTTTAACTTGGTATTTTCAAGGTGTGTCTGAGTAGTTGGATTGCATGGCAGCAGTGATTGACATCTTGCTGCATGTATACCTAAGCTTAACCTTTGACTTTGGAGGAAAGTTAAGCAGCGCAGTAACTCCTGGTTAATGATATCTTTTCTCTTCCTTACGGTGCCAGCAGTTGTTAGAGTTGGTTTGTCCAGGAGACTTCTATGTGAGTTGTGGTCTTTGTTGTTGCTCTTAGAAATTATGGCACCAAGAATATTTTAAATTGAGAAATTTAATGTTGTTCAAGTTCTTCTTTCTGGGCAGTTTTGAAATTCTCCTGTGCTTATCTCTCTGACTTCTTCATGGGGAAGAAATGTGTGGTGTAAATGGCCACAGAACAGGAGAGCAGGCAAAGAGCGCCTTCAGATTTGATAACTTGGCTTCTGTTCGGAATGATGGCCTTTGACTGTCACACTGGCCATTTCCTTTTCAAATCTTGCTTCTTTTCTAATCTGTGGACCATGTACCTGCCATTTCCTTAGGCAGTTGGTCCTCAATTTTCCCCGAAGCTTGCTCTGTCTCCTTTTCTGTCTGCTTTAATGCGCATGGTGCTGAAATTGTGTAATAATTGGATAAGTGGTCTTGAGGGAAAAGCCACAGGTCATCCTTCCTGAAACCCAAGTATCAGATACTTAGCGCAAGGAAGGAATTTGCTTTCTCGTGTGTGAAATTTTAGTTCTGATTTGTTAGTTTTAAAAAGAAAAATGACATGAGTTTTCACTTGTTTTGCCAGCAGGCTGCTAGAGAGGTTGAGCAGTCGCTTGCCGTGAGCATTTAGATGTGCACAGGTGTTCTCAAAGGTGCTGAAGCATGCAAGAAGGCACAGTGCTGACCCTCCCGCCATCCCCTCACAGAGGGAGATTCATGTGAGAGATGTGGGACACATTTTTCTTTAAGTGCCTCTTTTTCACTTAGCTTTTAAAGTGATTCTTTTTTTCCCCCCCATTACCCCAGAAGGGATCTCTTTAGCTTATGTGTGGATTTAAAAATCACCTTTGACTTATTATGGCTAAAAAGATACCATCTAGTGTTCAGTTCTGGGGAAGAGAAACTGTGGCCTATAGACTTGGACTCTTAACTTCTAGGCCTTATTATATCCCATTCTTGTTGGGTTGTGTCAGAGGAACCTGTATTCTGCAGAGTCTTGTAATAAGCACTTATCTGTGAATCTGGGTCCTTCCTGGGGAGTGAGGAATGTGAGGGAGAGGCAGGAAAAGGACAGCTCCTCTAGGGGTCCCCTGCCCCCACCTCTTGCCATTCCCAATCAGTGAGGCATTTAACCTCTTACCACCCACTGCTAGGCTTGTTCCTCAGAGGAGCTCTCTCCAGAGCTTTGATGCATGACGTCAGCCTGCCTCTGGGCATTTGTTGGGATTACATCCGAAACCAACCAAGTCATGCTGTCTAGGGTGGCAAAAGGATTTTTTCCATTGATTTTTGCAGGGACCAAAGACTGAATGCTTAGCTTCTATGCCTAGACTTCCCTGGTCCTTGGAACATTAGCAGGTCTCTGGCTCTGCTGCACCAGAAAGCTGGAGAGAGAGGGGATCTGAAACAGTCCACACTTGCCAGCATCCTTTTTAAGCCTTACGAGGGCAGTTTTCTTTGAGATAGATCTTGGAGGCCTGACATTGAAGACCTTGAATGTGACATTTTCATGAAAGTGCACATCCTTGGTCTACGGTGTCTTCTTTGAATATAACACTTGTGAAAAATTATGTAGTATGACCAGCTCTGAGTGCTATTCACATGCACAAGTTCTGAATGCCAAATGAGACTGTGTGTATGGTGATTTAAATGAAGATGACTGGACTTTTATGTAACAGTCACCAGGCATTTTAGTATACCTATAACCAGCACTTGGAATTCCCGACACCATTACTTGATATGGGAAAGCTTGTGCCTGATGCTCCTCTGCCTCTTTGAGGTATTCCCAGTCATCTTCCTACAGTCTGGAAATTGAAGTGCAATATATAGAAACACATATGGATATATACAGATTATATAGAGGATGTGACTATAAAGCAGCTACACTACTTTTTTGTATCTGTGTTGGTGAAGCCAGCTCATTGCTTTAGAGTAAAATTATGCCTAGAATTTTTGATGTGATCAGCTGGCTTAAGCTAAATCTTGGTAAAGCTGGATTTTCAAGTCCATATTTTCTTACTCCAGGTCATAGAGACTTATTGTTCCCTGGGTTTGTTAGAGTTGAGAATTTTTTTCCCCAGTCACCTCTTTATACTATCTCATGTTTGTGTGTTTTGCCCAGGAACAAGGAAGTCACTGGTAAGGTGTTTCCTACATGGGGAATCAAAACCTAATATTTGGCACTATCAGTTTTTTCACGTATACACTATTTATCTGGGAATGTAATACCTTATTAAATGATGAAAATGATGCTTTTTTTTCATTTGATAAAGTATTTTCCACACCCTGGAGAAACTACAGACTGATAAAGGTTAGAATAAAATGTTAACTGTTCTTCAGGAGCCAAATAAAATCCTTTCCATTGGCAGATTCTTCTTTTTTCAGGGTCTTAATGACATGATGTAAAAATTTGCTCTATACCATTCTTGTCCATTACATAACTAGATTTAAAAGTATAATAATAAACATATTAACATTTCTAAGCAAAAGGTACATTGACAGTGACCTTTGGTTACCCACAGTAGCAAGAGTAAAGCACAGATAATTGAAATCCATAGATAATAATCAATGTTTCAACTTTTCTATCAAACAATTAATTCCTTTGTATTTCTTCTCCCTCCCGTCCCTGTGCCAAACGCACCTCCTTTTCAATGGAATGAGTAGTTAGAAAAGGGAAAGGAAGACCCCCCAGAGGGGCTGGCAAGCAGAGTACACAAGAGCAGCCTGGTTAGCTACACTTGGTCCACCTGGCACTGCTGAACACTGAGTGGAGGAGCCACAGGTGCAGTCCCGAGTTTAGCTGTCACTCTTCAGCATCATCTCCTGCCCTGAGTTCTAGGCTGTCGCTCTTCAATTACCAAAGAACTCAGCACCTGTGGGAAGAAAAAAGCTGTGTATGACACAGGAAATTCCATCATTTGAACACATTGCTTTGACTCTTGACGAGTCCTTGCTTTTTTTGTTGTTGTTGTTTTTTGTTTTCCTTTGGAGATACCTTCTCCAGTTATATCTCCCGATTGCCTGGCATATAGGAAAGGTTGGTCTGTCCTTTCCGACTATGTTGGTCTTTATATCCTATAATACCAGTTTATTTTTATGTGGTCTTACAGATGTTTAGAAAGTAGCACAGGTTACCGAATTGTTTATCTGCCAGCATTCTGATGTAGCACAAAAAGCCATTTTTGCTTCCTTTTTTTTTTTTTTTTCGTCCCATTTTTCTGGCATTGAGCTCCGGGGTAGATGAGGGTTTATGGTCTTATGACCATAAGTTCCAAAAACTGGTCACCGTTGGTTTAAATTGCTTTGGTTCCTCAAATACCTTGGGACTCTAGGAGCTTTGGCAGGGCCTGAGGTAGGCTCAGTAGAGTTCTGGAACCTCCATATGTCGCCACCAGATTATATCCAGCAATGAAATTTCCCTTCTATCGTCGTGAAATTTGGTGGAAAGTGACCTCTTCCCTTGTCTGGTGTTATAAACAGAAGTTCTGAGTTGTGCTTCAAAAGTGGTACCATCTTTTGGTGTAATTTTTATGTTTTCAATTTTTAATTTTTACTTTTTGAGATGTTTTTTAAAGGCCCTGCTTAGTCAATGTACAGGGTGAGTCAAAGACAGTTTTCAGAGAAATAGCAAGTTCACCAGGTAGTAGTAATTGCTATTTTACTAGTTACACGTATAAAATACAAAGGAAGCGTCAGGAGACACACTGACTCTCTAAAGCCACTTCCTGGTGCAGAGTCTATGCAGGGAGAGCCCAGGCACCTCCCAGTAAAGATACTTGCCAGTGACAAGTCACTGACTGGAAGAATCCAGACAAGAAAGGGAAGCCTGTCTCTGAAACTGTCTCTGAGGGGTGAGCCTAGGCTGAGCTCTTCTGCAGGGTATGCTTAGGCCACATACAATGCTTGCCTTACTTTAAAGCTTTTGCCACAGTCTTGTTAAATAGTGTGAAAGTCCTTTTGCAGTCTGGTGTGCATGCCTTATGACCAGGACAGCTTTTCCACCTTCTCTGGTTTCCTACAATCAAGTGGGAAATGTAGTGAATTTACCCTGAAATGTCCAATCTGTATTTATGTACCTTGTCAGTGTTTTGCTGTTGGTTTTCTAAAACAATCTGATCAATAAATCTTATCCAAATCTATTTGGTTCAAGTCCACCTTGATTGTCTGACAGTCATTTGTATGTATATGGACTCACCTGTTTGACATAAGCATCAATCCCACCATCTCCATCAATCCCTTTACCATCTCCCTGTGGGTTAGCTTTTTTCTGTAATATCTGAGAGTCATCTGCCTCCTGGGGGTCCTTCCGTCTGCTCACCATCTGGAACTCCTGGACATGTAGTAGTTCGCTCAGGAGAAAGCTACTCCCTCCACAAGGACCTCAGCAAGGAAGCAGCTGCCCATCCTGTATTCCCCAAACAACTGCTGGGCAAGTTTGTATGGGTACATCGAGAGTTTTTCAAAGGGTTGGGGGAGATTCAGAGAATTTGAAAGGAAAATGGAAATCTCTACATAGAGAGTCATAGGACTTTATAGTCCAAGGGAAAAGCCATCACAGGAGGAGAGCCCCGTGCAGGGGGCTTTTCAGGGGATGAAACCATAGTTCCTGCCTCTGGCCTTAGTCTTCCAGATGCTGCTTCTCCAAAACTTGTCACCCCAAATCCACTAAGTCCAGAGTAGGCAAGGACATTCCAAGTCTGGTCACTTTTAAGGTCTCCCTTCCAGAATTGCAAATATACCTCTTAATTTTCAGTGTTTCTATTGGCTAATTATGGATCAAACATACCTTCCAAGGATAAGTAAGCTTAGATACTACAATGTAAATCTACAAGGAAAAAGAAACAATTTCTTCCTGTTTACCCACCTTACAGTTAATACTTGACATGTATCACAAGTTGTCTTCTCCCCCACCACCTCTTCAAAAATGTACTCCCTTCAGATCTACCAGAATTAAGAAGTAAGCCCCCCTGTACCTTTAGATTTCAATGAGTCAGAGCTTTGAAATGGACTCTTATTTGCTTCTGACTGGGTTCTTAGACATTTAGCCCCATCTTGGCCTAGAGGAAGAGGTTTCAGTGGGGTGGTTTTTTCTTCCAGTTACATTTATGATTCTAGTTTGTCAGGCTGCTATTACTGAGCTATCATGATTGAACAGTGCAACACATTCCCTTGCAGGTAATCTTCCTCAGTTGTTGCTTGAAGGGAGAGGACACTGGCAAAACCACCCAGTTTCTGTAGTGCTTTCAGATGAAAGGCCTAGGTTCTGAACCAGTAGTGCTTTCTGCAGTGATGGAAATGTTCAGTATCTGCACCATCCACTGGGGTGGTGGCCACTAGCCATGTGTAACTATTGTGGCTGAGGAACTGAATTTTGAATTTGGTAATTTAAATTTTTTTAAATGTAAATAACCACATGTGGTTACCTATTAGGACAATTCTAGAAAGAGATGACCCAGGGATTGGGACACCAGGGCTCTGCTCTTGGCCCAGTTCATAATAATCCTGTTTTGAATGCAACTCATTTTACTTTGGGCCTTGGTTAACTCATTGGTCAAAGAGGAGGTTTGCTAGATAATCCCCCACATCCCTTTCAGATTCAACATTTTGCCATTAGGATGCTTGGCCAAAGGCCTGGAGCATCCATCTATACAGCGCTAGGCCTGGAATAGTTACTTCTGCACCTTGATTTGATACTAAGATAGTTGGTCCCACTGTGGTGCTTGGTGGCCTGCAGCACAGGCCAGGCAGTTCCTTCATGAGTGCCACAGTCTGGATCCCTACTTGTGAGGTGCAGGCTCTGAGTATGAGTGCTGTGGACAGAGTAGGAAATAGAACAAGGCCAGCTGCCAGGCCCACCCGTGACCCACTGTTTCCAAAATGTGGTGCATGGTTGTTAAAAATACAGATTCCTGGGCTGGGGATGTGGCTCAAGCGGTAGCGTGCTCGCCTGGCATGCATGCGGTCCCGGTTCGATCCTCAGCACCACATACAAACAAAGATGTTGTATCCGCCGAAAACTAAAAAATAAATATTAAAAAAAAATACAGATTCCTGGGTCCAAATCACAGAGATTCAGTATAGTAGATGTGTTGTTTTAACAAACTCAGTTGATTTGGATTTAGCTGGCTTAAGACATTTGGGAATCCTGTCATAATTGTCCAGCATGGAACTCTAGAGCCAAGAGTGAATATCACCAGCCCTTGCCCTGTCAGAACTCAGTGTCAAGATGACACACTGGCCACACATATTTATCTCTTCCCCTTCTTGGAGAGCCAATGAAATGGCTTTAGTTTCCTCCTAAAATGGAACTAATAATAATAATATCCTATCTCTTGACATTCTTGTGGGGCTTAAATGAGTAGCTGTGTACACATTACATGGTTATTGACCTACTGCTGCTCTTGGTAGCTGATGAAAGTGAAATATTTACTATAAAGTAGAAAATTAACCAATAAGGAAACTAAACATAAGATGAGGAGGAGAGGTGGGGATATAAAGGAGTCAAGTCCTCCATTCCACAGCAAAACAGGGGATACCTGGAATGTCTCAAATTGAAGCAATGAGCAGGACATGGTTGTACAAGTCTGTGTTCCTAGAGATTTGGGAGACTAAGGCAGGAGGATAGCAAGTTTGAGATCACTGTAGGCAACTTAGTCCCTGTCTGAAAATTTTTTTAAGAATGTTAAAAGGGGCTGGGAGTGTAGTTTGGTAGAAGAGTGTCTCTAGGTTAAGTCACTGGTACTATGAAAAGGGGGGGGGGGGGGGGGGGGGGGGGGGGGGGGGGGATAGAGGGAGAGAGAAAGAATGAAAGAAAGAAATGAGCTGTATGTAATACTATGAATGTGGGTTTCTTCTAAGTGAGACTTTCAGATTGGGTGACTCAAAGAGTATTAGTCTCTCATTATTCAGATTCAGCTCCACTGGCATTTGAGAATTTTTAACTTAATAACCAATCCTAGAGGTTAGTGAGAAGAAAAAACAGAGCAAGGGAGGGGCTTTTTAAAAATACACGGTTAGGGGCACCATGGCACAAGCCTGTAATTCCATTGCTTGGGAGGCTGAGGCAGGAGAATCACAAGTTTGAGGCCAGCCCCAGCAACTTAGCAAAATCCTGTCTCAAAATAAAAAATAAAATGCCTGGAGATATAGCTCCAATACAGGAAGCCTGGGTTAAATCCCCAGTACCTAACAAAACATAAACAAAAATCACAAACTGGCTGGGTGCCGAGGCAGCTCAGGAGCCTGAGGCAGGAGGATCGTGAGTTGAAAGCCAGCCTCAGCAATTTAGTGAGGCCCTAAGCAACTCAATGAGACTGTCTCTAAATAAAGTATAAAAAGAGTGGGGATGTTGCTCAGTGGTTAAGCACTCTGGATTCAATCCCTGGTCTCCCCCCCCCCCCCCCAAAAAAAAAAGAAAAATCACAATTTGTCAGTTTAAGTGTGGTCCTATCCTGTTGCCCAGTCTGTTCCTTACCATCGTTTATTCAAGAACAAGGGCAGAGTTTTTTTTGTTCTTTGATACACTCCATAGCCAGGTAAGAGGAGGACCCTGGGGGTTTCTTAGTGGCATACCAAGCATACCCAGTGATTTGCTCATTTTGCCCAGGGTCCTGCCAATGCAACCTTGAATGCAAAAAGTGAGACAGATCAACTGGAAGGCGCAGGCAGCCTGGCAGGAAGGAACGGCAAGACCTGAGTCAAGGGGCAACAAGCCCTGCAGCCCAGCTCCAGCCCCAGGAAAGAGAAGACTAGAGATGACTGGGAGCGCTGGCCATTTACTGTTTGGGGACTCCACACTAGGCGGGGATCTTTAGAACAGTATTTATTGCAAATGGCATCTGTGAGAAGAGAAAACAGCTGTCATTCAGTTTGTCACCTCAGAGGCCCACAGACAGATCAGTTTATCCTTCTTATACTAAAGCTGCTTGGCTTCTGGAGCTGAGGAGGCTCTTACCATGACTGCCAAGGGTGTGTCCCCAAATCTTCTCCACCCCTTGTAAGGAAGCAAACTTACCTAGCGCACAACCCCAAAGAAATCTGCTGCACCTGGAGTTTGTTTTTTGTGTTTGTGTTTTTTGGTACTGGGGATTGATCCCTGGGGCGCTTATCCACTCAATCCCCAAACCTTTTTTACAAAATTTGAGACGGGTCTCAAGCTCAATTGCTCAGGCTGGCCTCGAACTTGCAAATCTCCTGCCTCAGGCTTCTGAGTCGCTGGGATTACAGGTGGTCAGCACCACACCCAGCATGCATCTGGCTCTTATTTATCACCAGAACCAGGTCATCCTGAAGACAACCAAGATCAGAATATGGTTCAGGGTGTCAGCATCTGTCCCTTGCTCATCCTGCACTACCCACAAAGACATGATCCCGAAGAACGATGACCATGGAGGTTGCTCAGAGCTACTTGCACAATGGGACGTTCAGGCCTAGATCGCCCGCTTTCCATCTGCTTCTGCACCCCACCACACCCGCAAGCTGTGCCTTGGTAGCCCAGCATTCTCTTCTCAGCCAATCTGTAGAGGAACGTATGCCTGGAGATCCTAGCCCCATTTCACTGATTGGTAGGCCAAGGCTAGCCATGGTAAGTGGTTTGCCAAGGGAGTTCCCTGGCCCTCAAAGCCCAGAGAAAGGATGAGCAGCCTCTGATCCTAAGAAGGCACATGCTTAAGAACTCGCATCCTTCCTGCACCCTCCCCGCCCGGTTGCCGATTAACCTGCATCGCCACCAACAGGGCTCTCAAAAAGGGACACTTCCCGGGGTGGGCGGAGCTCACGGCGGAGCAGCCTAGTAGCACCGTGAAGCCCGGGACTGGTCGGTGAAGCTGTGCTGCTAGCGGTGCGCGGGGAGTCCCCAAAGCGCCACCTTGCCCGCAGCCGCCCACCTGCCCCCGATCCCTGCCAGCTGGGGCAGGATGCCCGCCGCACACATAGCTGGAGAGCAAAAGTCGCGGTTTTCAGGTCGCAACAAGATGGCCTCGTGCTCGCGCCAAGTCGTCTCCAAAAAGCCTTGCGGGGTGGCTTCTCTGCCGCCCCCTAGCGAGCCGCGGAGCCCGGCGGTGCTCCGCCAGGAGGTGGCCACCGCTTCGGGGAGGCTAAGCGGTGGCCCTTGTTTGGGCCGCTGCTAACTGAGCACACGATACTGCCCTGCCCCGGGCGGGGCTGGATGCACCCGGGACACGGCGCTGCCTTCAGGGAGCTTCCATGGGAGGAGGGGAGGAGGCTGACCTGGAGCTGTGCGGAAAGTTCTCGAAAGCCTCCGAGGACCGAGCCAGCGTACTAGAGGGTGCTGGAAAGTGGCACACTCCATCTGTTTCCAGACACAGTACCCAGCTCTAGGTGCCTTCAGGTGCCACGTCCCAGGGGAAGCCCAGGAAGGGGCGTGGGAAGTGAGGAAGGAGAGGCAGCGGGCAGCTGTGGCATCGCTGGTCACTTAGCCTAACAGCACGGGAAGCTTTCAGCCCAACAGCCACACCCAAGGGCCCCTCTGGCGCCACAGGGAGCGTGCCAGCAGGAGGCAAGCCCCTGGTCCCGGCCACTTTAGGCCTGGGCACCCGGGGTGCTCAGTCACCCACCCTGAGCACGGACTCTTGCATAGTGACATCCTTCAGGACAAACAGCCCACAACTTGGGGCAGCTCCTGTAGAGGCTACCCAGAGCCAGGCCCTGGCAGGAAGGGAGACAAGGACCCTGTGTGGAACTGGGGCAGGGGCTTGGCACGGAAGTATCGGACCCTCTCCATTAAAGCTGCTCAGGGACCAGAGCCACTCTTCGGAGCTTACGCAGCCCCGGCCACCAGACTGCAGAGGGCGGCTCCCAGTGCGGGAGGGGGAGCCACTCCGAACCGGAATGATCTGGTTTAGGGCGGGCTGGCTCTCCCTCCTCCTCTTTGCCGCCCACCCCTTCTCCCGCGACAGGCTGATTTCTGCCGCAGTCCCTGACCAAGGTAAACAGGGGGGAGGTGGGGAGGAAAGAAGGCTCTGTTTCCATGGCAACCCAGAGGGCGGTCGACACGGCTCTTCGATGTGTGCGTGTAATTTCTGAGGGAAAAAACAGATTCACTGCAAAAGCCTTTACCGTGGTCGCGGTGGGAGTCATTCTGGAACACTACATGGGCCTGGTGTTGGGGGGAGAGGGGACCTTGGGCACCCTAGTGGAGTGGCAGATGAGCCAGGTCCTGGGGACAGAGACACCCCAGGAGTGGGTTTGCACCAAAAATGCAGTCATCGACCCAAGAAACAGAAAACAGATACCAAAGTCCCAGACCTTCCCACTCCCACCTCACTGCCCTTTTCCAGAAAGCCCTTCCAAGGGGCAGCCACGGAGCTGGGACCAAGAGACCCAGGGACTCAGGCCCGAACAAGAGTCTGTGTGAAACAGAGAGATCCCTAGTTCCCCATCTCAGAGAGCGGGCAGGACACTGCTCCCCTGGGAGCACCTGGCTGGCCCCATCTTACTCCTCAAGACCTGTCCTGTTTTTCTGGAGCCTGATCCCTCAGTATGGGATCAATGGCTGCTGGAAGAGGTGAGCCTCAGGGAACAACGGAATAACTCCTGCTTGAAATCGTGGGTGTGGGTCTCAGGGGTTACCCCCTCCCATCCTGAAGGCCAAGACTGTCACCATGTCACTCTCCAGTAGTTGAATGAAGTCTCTACTGACGGAAGCCATATCACCAAAGCCCTTCTCTCAGGAGCAACCTGAAGGGGGTCAGAAACCTCTCAAGACTTCCTGTCAGATTCCTCAGAAACTCATTCCATTCCTGACCTGTGTGTGGGAGAGGGAGCTGTGGGTGGGTAAGCTTCCTGTCCCAGCAAAGCTGAGTGAACCTGAGTAGCTTCCACCTGCCCCTGACTTAGCAGCAGGGATGCTGGCCAGAAGCTGGATTCTTCTAGCTCAGTTTCCCCTGGCTAGACAACAACCCCATCTGGCAGTGAGGCTTCTAGGCCCAGGAAATCCAGGCCTCAGGCCTCCTCTCTTAACATAAGACCTCAGATGCTTGTGGTCTTCCTGGGAGATACCTTCAGGAAAGAACCAAGGGCAAAGACAAGAAAAGGCAAATAGGCCTGCTTTTCCCTTGCAAAAATCCAGAAATGCCACATCTCAGATCTTTCCATGGCCCACAGATTCCAAACTTCCCTAACTTGAACACCTACCTCGTCTCTTGGCTCACTCCAGCCAGAGGTCTCCCTGCTGCTCCTTAGTCAGGCACACTCCCTCTTGAGGCCTAGGCACTGGTGGCTGGCTCTGCCTGGAATGCTGTCCTCCATACTTACACCATCAGTTCTTTATTTCCTCAACTTCAGTTCTTTATTCAAATGTCATCTCAGTGAGGCAGAGCCACGGCGAGGGTATCACCATGAGGTCACCAAACCTTGATGCCTTGATTTTAAGTTGTATCTATACCCTCTCCTCCCCTAGCCCTGTCCTCTTCCCATCTCACTTTGTGATCATCTTGTTGTTGTCTGACTCCCTCTGTAAAATGGAAGTGCTGTGAGGACCGGAATCATCTGCCTTGTTCTTGTGCTCTCTGGAGCCTCACTCTTGGATGGATGGATGGATGGTAGGTTAGTCAACTTTTCATCACAGTGACCAAAATCCCTGACAAGAACAACTTGGAAGAGGAAAAGATTATTTTGAGCTGACAATTTCAGAGATTTAGTCCATAGAGGGCCAACTCCGTTGCTCTGGGACCAAGGTAAGAAAGCGCATCATGGTGGAAAGCCTAGCAATGGAGCACTGCTCACCTTGTGGCAGCAGGAAACCAGAGAAAGGAAGGAGTGGCAGGGAAAATGCACCCTTCCAGGGCACACCCCCAGTGACCACCTCCTCCATCCATGCCCTACCTACCTACAGTTACCACCCGGTCAATCCATTCAAACTAGGATGGGCTAATTAGATCACAGCTCTCATCTGATCATTCCACCTCCATTCCTGTAGTAACAGGAGCTTTTGGGGGAACTTCATATCAAAACTATAACAGTAGATAAATGGGACCACAGGTTCGGCGGGTTTTGTCCTCCAGACAAGTGAGACCTGTGCCTTAAGATAGGCATACACAGAGATGTACAAGGGTCACTACTAAATCAAAAAAGCAGCAAACTAGCTTTAACAAAAAGACTAAAAGTAGATACTGCTACTTCTACCAAGCTTGGTAGCTCCAGCCCGGCTTTAAGGTCCTATGCAACAGTATCTCTAGCACCACTGGAGTGCCAGGGTCCTGCCCACTGGGTTCAGCAGGGTGGAAGACAATAGCTCAGGTATGCTCCTGCCCCACACCAAGGAATTTTGGGGATTGTGCAGAGTTAGTGGCAGTGAGAGAGACCCAGCCCTATGCATTGGGCGGAGATGCAGGGGTGAGGGAGAAGGGGAAGGGGACCATCTCTCAGACTCATGCTGGCTTTTCTCTCAGGGATATCTGCAACCAGGGGCTGTGCGTGCTCCTCTGCTTCATGAGGCTCCTATCTGACCAGTAACAGCAGGTTCTAACAGTTCCATCAGTCGAAACTTCCACTTGCAGCATGAGTCACCTTCAATTTCCTGCCTGCCTCCTTCTTTTCTGATTGACCTGATAAATTCAGGACAGCTTTTATTGCTTTTGGCAAAAAAAAAAAAAAAAAAAAAAAAAAACTGCCATTAAGATTTACAGAGCCCAAAGCTGGTACAATGTAATCTTCAGAGTAATTTACACAGTGAGTTTCAAAAGATGAAAAGTTAGCATTTCAGAGGTAATTTCATAAAAAGGATTATCAGATTAATCACTATGTCAATTTAATAGTGGTGTCGAAAATAATTAATTAGCTTTTCTTGAAGTCAGCAATGCAAAAATGGACTTAGAAGGAATACAAATGGCCGTGCCAAACGTAAGTATGTTTTGGGCAATAGATCTTGAGAAAACTCTTGCTGGAATTGCCTGCTTGGCAGAGTGTCGGGCGTGGGTGCACTGGCACAGAGTAAGAAATTGAAAGCTACTGGAGCATCCGGGTCTCCAGGACAGCCTCTGCATTTGACTGCAGGAGGCTTGTCCCTGCTGCTGAGCGAAGGCTGACCTGCCACATGTTGAATGGTCCTGCGACACCTGGAAATTGTGTCTAACCAAGTCGACAGGCGTGTTGACAGGTTGCTGTGATGGAACATGAAGGTGTGAATTGCATCTGACTTGTGAAATTACCTGTGATCGCTCCAAGATGGGATACAGTCAACTCTGCCCAGGCTAGTTATCAACGCTGTCCTCAAGGCTCCATGGCGGCCACGTGTCAGGGCAAGTTAGGTCCTTAGTGGTGTGGTGGGCTGAATGATATCCCTTCCAAAATAGATATGTTCGAGTCCTAAACTACAGCACCTTATTTGGAAATAGGGTCTCCGCAAAGATGATCAAATTAAAATGAAGTCATTAGACTGAGCCCTAATCCAACATGAATGTTATCCTTACAAAATGGGTAAATATGGACACACACACACACACACAGGTAGAGCAATATGCAAATGTGAAGGCAGCATTTGGGGTAATATGTCTACAAGCTGATGAACATCAAAGATTGCCAGCAAACCTCTAGAAGTGAGGAGGGAAGCATGGACCCAACTGCCCCTCACAAGGAACTAACCCTGCTGACACCTCCATTTTGGACTTCAAGCACCTAGAATTATGGGAGAATAAATGTCTCTCATTTGAGTCATCCAGGGGACTATACAATGGGGCATCGTGGAAAGTCAAGACTTGGGTGGTAATGTTTTTGATGTTTTGGTATTTCTTTAATAAAACTTTCTCATTAAAAAAATTTAAGCACAGATTTTACATAATGGGATGATGTGACAATTCTGGGTGGGAGGTACAAGTGTTGTCTGTGCTATTCTCTAGGTTTTCTTTTAAAGAATTAAGTCAAAAAGAGCTGCTTTCTTCTGGGGTTGCTGAACTCATAGGCTCTGAGCCTGAAACTGTGGGGAGCCATGTCCTGAGGAGAACAGCCCAGCAGGCAGAAGGGTTCTGATGACCACCTGGGCCCCACTGAAAAGGTTGTGAAGATCAAGTACAAGAATTATAAAAGGGTGACCAGAAAAGTGTCTGGTAGCAGTCTTGTGAGACACTGCTAGGACCACAAAGCCACATTTAAGAGCTTGTGGAACATGTGGTTCCAGCCACATGAGCTGCCCCACACCCTCACATGCCTTGAGCCAATGCCAACATCAGGAGGGCTCTTCCCAGGATCACTACTCACCTTCAGGGAGATATCTTCCTCACCACTTCATACCTCAGATGGACCTCTCCAACCTGAGTGGGCCAGAGTGCTACCCAGGGTGATAATGGCCAGTTCCTCCAAAAGGGCACCATTGGTCAAGAGGCCTTAGTTACTCAGCAAGTACCAGGGAGTAGTTTCCACAGCTTGTAAAGAGCCCAGGGTGGAGCAGCGAGATGGAAGGGGAGCCAGCCAAGTGTCTCAGTCTGCAAGAGTATCATTTGGTGGGAAGATTGACCTCAAACTGCTTCCTCAACAGCCCTTTTGGGGAAAGCAGATCCCAAGCTGCCTCCTCACAGTGCTTCCAAGGCCGGCTCCAGTTTCCATCCTGCCTCCCAAAGGTTCTCCACTCCCCTTTTTCTCTTTTTCCTGGGGACACAAAAGTTAGGGCACCATTGCCAGAGGAGCATGTGTGGGAATCTTCTACTGTGGGTTGTGCTCCCAGGTCTAGACATTTAGGCTCCCTCTCTGTGGCTCCTAGAGAAGGGGCAGGCCAGTTTGTGCCACTAGAGTGCTCCCAGACTGTTGGGCAGTTTGCCTCTTCATCTTTCTTCCACAGATTTAGCGTCGGGTTCTTCCCCTTGAGAGAAAGGTGGCTTCAAGAAGAGCAGTGGCACGTCCTAGATTCAGGCTTGGGGGAAGAATGAGGTGAACTTTCTTGTTTCATCTACCAAGGTAATTTATTTTCTCCTTTTAGACTTTTCCATACTGTTCCTCTGGGGGGCCTTCTTTGAGGGCCTAGAAATGCCAACACTTCCTGACAAGGGCATAGTGGAATTTTTGACCTGGAATAGGAAACTGAAGGGGGCTGGCTTAGGGTGGGGACAGTGGGATGAGGAAAGCCAGTGATGTTTTGGATATAAGTTGTTCAGAGGCATAAATCTTCTGCATTTGGGAAGTCATTTTGGGGTAAATTTGGAACCTGAAATGGTGCCCTTGCTCACTCTTCCCTGGGAGGAAAGGCAGGCCCATGTGGGGCCATTCACTCCCCATCCACTCTGGCAAGGTCACTTTGTAAGGGCCAGCTGGTAGCTTCCTTGTTATTGCAAAGTGATTTAATTCTTTAATGTTCTATGGATTAAAGTCCTTCTTACATTTCAAAAGACCAGATGGGAGCCAAATAATATGGCTTGTTTTTGTTCTGGGGATGGAACTCAGGGTCTTACACATGCCAGGCAAGCGCTCTGCCACTGAGCTACACCCCCAGCTCCAATATGGCCGTTTTGGTTTTCTTTTAATGAGACCATGAATAGGATAGCACTGAGATGGCAAAGATGGCTGCTGGGTGCCCTGGGACTTGTTGCCCAGAGGGCTTGGTAAGCCCTGAATTACTTTCATCCTCATCCCTGCAGGGAGTGTTGTCAGTCCCTATTTTCCAGAAGATTCTTGTAATGATTTCTGCAAGACTTTGCACTTTACAGGTTTCAGTTAAAATTTGATTCAACATGAGGGTAGGGGGAGGTGAAAGGCTTGAGAAACCTTAGATCATGAAAGCCCTCAAGACCTCTTGCTCCCACCAGGGGCTGCTTGGCTTTGAAGACATGCTGTCCCTCTCCCAGATTCTGCTCTCTGAAGTCTCATGGTGAGTCACAGCACCAGGGCCTCTCCCTGCAGAAGGGTGCTCTCACTGCTGCTGGGCGTGACAGGAAGCAGTGGGGTGAGGGCTGGGAGGGCTGAGCACTGAGGCCAGGCAAAGTGACCAGACTCACAAGCCTCCACCCACCCACCTAGAAGATGAAGACATGGGTGCTACCTGCTGCTGCCTCCGCTGTGTCTTCTTTTGCTCTGGATCTGCCGGAAGGAGCCTGGCCCTCATCTTCACATGGGGAGGGCAGGTGGGCCAGACAAGGCAGGTCACCCCAGGAAGGGGCGGCTGCCTAGCTGAAGGTATGTGGTCCATTGCAAAGAGGGCTTCCTCCACACATGGCTCTGAGGGTCCTCCAGGCCCTCTCTAAGTGACCATTTTGTTTCAGCAAATAGTTTAGCACAGGCTGAGGGCAAACTCCCATACCAGGGGCTGGGTGTGGTGTAGTGGTACAGCCTATGCTAAGCACACATGAATCCTGGCCCAGCACGTGCGCGTGCGCACAGACACACGCACACACACACACTATACCCACATTAGGTACTGGGAAAAGGAAACAAGAGAAAAACGGGAAATGGGTCTACTCTCAAGGATATAAAATGATTAAGAAACAAATCCACTCACAAAATGGTGCAATGTGATGCAGGCTAATCAGAGGTGATGTTAAAAGGTCAAGAATGGGCCGGGTGCAGTGGCACATGCCTATAATTCCAGCAGCTTGGGAGACTGAGGCAGGAGGATTGCAAGTTCAAAGCCAGCCTCAGCAAAAGTGAGGTGCTAAGCAACTCAGTGAGACCCTGTCTCTAAATAAAATACAAAATAGGGCTGGGGATGTGGCTCAGTGGTCAAGAGCCCCTGAGTTCAATTCCTGGTTAACCCTCTACCCCCCCCCCCCCCCCCCAAAAAATTCAAGAATGTTAGCACACAAGGATGACAGTAACCCATAGAGGTGACTGCTGCCACCTCTGAAAGTACACACTGGCAAGTGGTAACCCACACAGAGCAGGCAGGGGTTTGTGTGAACCCAACCGACTGCAGCCATGGCGCTCAGGCCTGAGTGTGAGGAAGAGCTATTGGGATCTTGAGGTGCAGGTGGTGAGGCGCCAACCTAGAGGTTCTCAGTCAGTAAACTGAGTCAGGCCTGAACCTGCACTTTACATAAAACCCACAGATGGGTTCTGCTCTAAGCCAGTCTGCAAACCACACTTTAAGAACCACAATCAGGAATTCAAACCAAAGCCCCTCCCTAGAGCAGTCCCAGGGGGCAAAATAAATGGGGATATTTCCCATGGTTTGACTCCAGCTACCAGGCAGCACCCTCCGTGGCTCAGTACCACACATATACACTCCGTACTACACACACCACACCCCTCACAACCCACCACACACACCACAAACCACACCCCCCACACCCCACAAACCACACACACACCTCACACCACACACACCACAAACCAGAACACACAGACACACCTTACACACCATAAATACCACACACACACTCTCACAAACCTCCATACACCTCACAAACCACACGCATACCACACCCATATATACCCCCCCACCCCCACCAAATATACCAGGAGCCCATTCACTCCTGGCCTCCAGTGAATCTGTGACTTGAACAGGCCAAGTTTGTCACCCACGCCATGAGGCAGCAAGGAGACAAGGGTCCTGACCATGACTCACTCTCTGCACGTCTTTGCCATTAGAGAGAAACTGCGTCAGTGCCTCACACTGGCTCTGGCTGCACAGAAGAGTGAAGGCCCCTGGCTCTTGTTCCTTTACCAGCTCTGCTGTCAGGGGGCCTCGTACCTCAGCACTGAGATTTATTGATCTCATTTTGCAGACGGAGAAAATGGATACAGGGAAAGAAAGTGATCAGCCAAAGGTGAAGCAGACAGGGCCCTGAGCAGATTAAGTGTTCAATAAATCCGCAGACTGACGCAGAGGGCAGGGGAGGGATGCTGAGTGCCAGAGGCCAGATCCCCTCCCGCAGTGTCTAGCAGCGGGGGAAAGATGGGGCGTGCAGCACCCCTGGCTCTTCCCTGTCCTGGGGCTAGTTGAGGAGAGGGGTGGCCTCCAGCTTCCCAACCCCCTCTCCCCACCCTGTTTCTGGCAGGAGAGGGCAAACAGAAGGGATCACCACAAGGGCATGTAAAACTTCCTGGTCCTTTGGGGCTGTTGGCACAACTTGAAAGGCTACACCTGGCATGTGGCATCTGAGTTACTGCCCACATCCAAAGGGTACCTCAGAAGAGCCAGCAGCACCTTGCCTGAACAGCCACAAGGGTCAGGATGGCACGACCACTGTGGCCCTTCATCCCTCTCCTTGCCCAGGTCCTATGCAGGGGGTAGCATTAGGAGCAGAAGCTCCTAAGAAATGGCAGCTCCAGGGGAGTGCTGGTTCATCCTGGGGCCTCTTGTGGCAGGTTCCCTCACTACAGTTGGGGTCTTCTCTGCCCATGGCCACCCTGTCCCCACTCCTACCCTTTCAGGGACCTCTAACTAGAATTCAGTGAAATGTCAACCTGGGTTTCATGTGGGTGAGGAAGAGAGGTCAGTCAGCTCTGGAAAACACTGGCCAGGAGTGCAGCTGCAGGATGAGGGACCTGGCCACCTGAGAACCACTGCAGTTCTCAGCCCATGGTAGGGAATGAAAACCAGCTGTTTCTTTTGCCCACAACTCAACGTATCATGGAAAACTAGTGACCTAAATGTCATCAGAGAGGCAGCATGGCTGTGTTGGGGGGCCATGGCTGCCTTGGGCTTCCCTGGCCAGGGCCACACTTAGAGTACCTCTGTATGAGTCTCTAGAGTGCCTTTTCCCTCCAGGTTGAGGACAACCATGTTCTCTCTGGGTCTCTGTCCTGCCAGATTCTCCCCGTTGCAGTAGGTGGGCCTGGGCCTTGCTGTCCTCCTCAGGGCTGGCCCAGGTGAAAGGAGTGCTGTGGGGGGACACTGGCTGCTCCTGCTTCCCTCACAGCTCAAAGAACCTAGAAACCAGAAGCCTTCAGTCTATGGAGGTGGCCGGGGCAGTGGGGAGCAATACTGCCTGTTAGCTCAGGGTCTGCTCAGAGCCATGAAAAGAAAAGCAAGCAAGGCCCAGAGGCAGAGCTGCCACGCGACTCTGAATTCAAGCCAGGAGCAGGTGGCCATTAGAAGCCAGGTTCCAGGCTCATCCTCTAGAGGCCCCATGGGAGCCCTGGCCCCCTTTCTGGTACCAGCTGTGCAGCCTGGCATGGAGCCATACCCAGGAGGGCGCACAGCGTGTGGGGCTGCCAGGGGACTGGATGCGAGACTCACTCCCCACTTGCTAATCACTCCCTTCTCCTCCGCCTCAGTTCTCGCACAACCTGCCTGCCCCTGGAGGAAAGCGTGCCCATCTGACACCTCACCCTCCTGCCCCTGGCTCCCTGTGGCACATTCATCTGTCCTTGTCGCTCTTCTGCTCTATATTAACCCCAGGGCCTAGTCCGTCCCCTCCTCCTCCTGCCTTCCCCAGGATGAAGGTCTGTTGCCTGCCCCCAGCTCCATCCCAGTGAGCCTGCACCCAGGCTAGGTCCAGCCAGGAAGGCCTCCTGCAGCCTCTCCAGCCATCTTGGGGTAGACTCTGAGTGGTTCAAAGGGAGCTAGAATCAGCACCGTGATCAACTCTCCTTTCTCAGCCACCATGAGGTCGTCCCATCACTTCCACTCAAGGGAGGCAAGGACTGGGCAGCCTCTTGTCTCTTTGACCAGAAGCTGAAAGAACAGTCTGACCCAAGGAGGCAATGGGAGGTCCCAGGAGTGTCAGACCAGACTGGTGACCCGGCACCAGAGAGCCAGCATGATGGGGAAGGGAAAGGAGAGGAGAAAAGAGCACAGCAGCCTGGTTTCTCAGATGCCAGGACCAAGCAGGGCGGGGGCACTCCAGGCCTTCTGTGGGCTTTCAGGCCTTTTGTAAAACGACAGTCCAACTGCTTGATCTCTAAAACCACTTCTAAGTTTTCCTGAGCCATGACAAGAAGAAAAAACATCTTAACTAAAAGCTGAAGCAGCCAGAAAAGCCAACACTACCTGCTTGTGATACTCCTGCCTCAGCCTTCTGAACTACTGGGACTGCAGGTGTTTGCCACTGTGCCCAGATGGGTTGTAATTTTGACCTATAACGTAGCAGGAAAAATATAAACCCTTGAACTAAAGGAGTCAGAAAAACATGCTGTTTGTTGCATAAATTCACAGTAGAAATTTGTGGAGTTGCTTTTTGTGTGTACGTGCGTGTGTTTGTGTGTGTGTGTGTGTGTGTGTGTGTGTATGTGTTTCTGGGGATTGAATCCAGAGGCACTCTAACACTGTGCTATATTCCCAACCCTTTTAATTTTGAGACAAAATTGGTTGATCACGGTGGCTTTGAATTTGTGATCCTCCTGCCTCAGCCTCCTGAATTAGTGGGATTACAAGCATCCGTCATGGTGTCTGGCTACATAGTTAGTGTTCAGTTCCTCTGACAGGAGGATGAAGTCAGGGTTCCATTCTACAGGGGTTGTTAGTTGGGGCACAGATAGTAAGTTGAATTTTAGGTATGTGCAATGAAGGGTTGGAAAGGTGAGGTGATGGCATGTCACATGCCATGAAAATGAATGCAGAAGTGATATTTTGACAGAGATCTTTTTTGCCCCAGTGCTGGGGATGGAACCCAGGGCCTTCTACTGGCTAGGCAAGTACTCTACCACACTCCCAGCCCAGAGAGTTTTTTTTTTTTTTTTTGGATAGAGATCTTAATGAAGACAGGAAGGAATTGGTAAAGATAGCCAAGGGAAGAACATTCTGAGGATGATCACATCCAAGGTGTTCTGCCTAAGGTAAGGATCTCCTACTTAAGATTCAGATTTCTAACAATGCATTGCCATCTTCACGTGGATGTTCCAATAGCAGCTCAAGGGTGACATGGTTAAAATTTCTCTTCTGCTCCACTCCTTTTCCTTCCTCACTGCTGTTATTTGTGCCACCATCTT